CGGGCGGACGGTGGCGGCGGCACGTTGGGGAGGCAGGGGAGGGAGGCAGATCACACACGCGTGCGCACACACACACACACACACACACACACAGCCACAGCCACAGCCACACACAGCCACACACACACAGTCACACACACAGCCACACACAGCCACACGGCCACGCACAGCCACAGCCACACCGCCACACACACACACACACACACACACACACACACACACACACACAGCCACCCACCCGACATGTCCACCAGCGTCAGGCTGTGCAGCCGGCTCTCGTACTCGCCCAGGCTGTGCCCCACGGGCAGCAGCTGGCGCCTCGTCAGCAGCTGGAAGGCCAGCGCTCCCAGAGAGAAGACGTCGGCTGCGGCGCAGGGGCAGGGCGGGGCAGCGAGGGGCAGGGGCCGGCATGCAGGGGGGTTGAGCTGGAGCCGGGCCGGGACGGGACGGGCATGCCGGGAAGGGGAAGCAGGCCAGGGGGCAGCGGGGCAGGCACGAGCTCAAAGCACTTGGTGCCATCAGCTGCCGCCGCTCTGCCGCCGCTCTGCCGCCGCTCTGCCGCCGCTCTCCCCGCCGACCCCCCACCGCCCCACCATCCCCCGGCCGGGCCGCCACTGCCGCACCTGCGCCCGTGATGCCCGCGCCGCCGCCGGCCACCAGCTCTGGCGCCACGTAAGGCAGCGGGGGCTGGCCCGCCAGCTGGAGCAGGGAGGGGTCTGGGTCGCTGTAGTCGTAAGGCTTGTGCTGGTTGGGAGCCTTGTAATCCAGCGGGGCGGAGAAGCCAAAGCCGGCCAACTTCCAGGCGCCTGCATGGGAGGGTACCGCCGGCAGGACGAGGCGGGGCGGCGTGGGAGGACGCAACGGAAGGGTGGGGGGCTGTCAGGCGGCGGCCCACGGGCAGGCGGTGGGCAGGCAGGGCAAGCAGGACGGCTGGCTGGCTGGCAGCGGGGGCGGCAAGAGGCTGGGCAGGCAGGGGCAGCCAGCGACGCAGGCAACAGGGCAGGCAGGCAGGCAGGCAGGCAGGCAGGCGCGCCTGCCGCAGTGATCAGCACGCTGGCTGGGCAGACGCCCCTGTGCACCAGGCCCGCATCAGAGTGCAGGAAGTGGAGCGCGTCCGCCAGCTGCAGCAGCCCGTGCTTGATCTCCAGCTCTGGGCAGGAGGCGGGGAGAGGCGCGGCGTGGGAGAATTCGACATGAGAGTTGCAGGGTCGGCAGGCCAGGCGGCGCGTGTGGACACTGTAGCGGGGCACCCTGCTGCCGGCCCGCGGCGCCCCGGCGGCGGCAGCGCCCGGCCGGCCCGCGCCCGCCCGGCGTGCGCGCCCCTCCACCCACCCACCCACCCACCAGACAGGCGCAGCGCTTGGCGCTCCTGCGCGACCGCGGGCGGCAGCGCGCCGGGCGCGCCGCCGCCGCCGCCGCCGCCGCCCAGCAGATCTGCCAGCGAGGCAAAGACATGCTCTGTGATGAACACAAGCTGGGTGCGGGTCTCTTCCAGCGGCGCGATGAGGCGCAGCACGCCGGGGTGCTTGAGGCGGGCCAGGGCGTGCACGTCGTGCCGGCACTGCTCCACAAACGCGTCCAGCCGGCGCTGGGAGGGGCGGGTGAGGCCGCCGCCGCCGCCGCCGCCGCCGCCGTGCCCGCCGTACCTGCACACACGCACACGCACACGCACGCATGCAAGCAGGAGAGTGGGCGGCCCAGCGTCTGTTCCCTGCATCGCCATCTCTCTTGCATGCCACCGTCTCTCCCTCCCATCTAGTAATGCACCATCTCTCGGCGCCAGGCGCTGCCGTGGCGGGCAGCCCAGCCAGCCAGCCACCCCCTCTCCCTCACAGCTGCTCCTCCGTCTGCGTGAGCTCCCGCTTGTCCAGTATCCAGGCGCTGACCACAGGGTGCGGCGAGCCTGCAGGGAGCAGGCGGGGCGGGACAACGGCAAAGGCTGTCCATGACCAGGGCGACGCACCGAGGCGGCGCCCCCCGCACGGCAGGCTGCTCCCGCGGGGGCGATCGTCGCTGGCGCGGCGCCGGCGGGCGAAGTCGGCCGGGCGTGTGGGGAGGTGCAGGCGTGGCGCACGCACCCTCCTTCTTGCTCCGGGCCGTGAAGATGCGCCACAGGGCGTGGCCCGAGCCGGCGGTGGCCACCTGCCCCCCCACAGCATAGTCCAGCAGGCACTGCGCCCCCAGCGCCTCCTGCTGCACAAACTTGGAGGCGGCCTTGCCCGCGCTGACCGCCGTATGGGCGGCCGCCGACACGGCGCTAAGGAACTGCTCCTTGAAGCCGCCCTTCATCGCGCTCCTGCGTGGCGGGCGCCCGCGGGCGAGCGACAGGTCACCTGGCGGCTGTTGCGGCAGGGGGACTGCCTCCGTCTCGTCCAACCCGCCTCTGCTGCGCTCACCTGCTACGGCGAGCGCCGCCTCAATGGGCTGGAGCTCCTGCAGAGCCGCAGGCAGAAGGTTCCTCTGGCCTGCACTCGATCGCAACAGAAGATGGCCTCCTGGAATACGCTGATTGGTGTGAGTCGCACAGCCCCAGCGCTCGATCAGGTCCCCGCGTTCCAAAGGGCAGGGCAAGTGCAGCCGCAGCTGCCCACAGGAGAGAGCGTCAGCCGCAGGTTGGCGTCACCACAAGTGCAGGACACATGTTGCGCACGCCCGAGCCACATGCGCTGAGAAAAACTCCATGCCCAGCTGGCGGCAGGTGGCGGCGCCAGCGCCTGGGCGCCGCACAACGTTACACTGGGCCCCTCCTGGAATTGAAGGACGAGTGCAATGGTTGTGGCATGCAGCTGCACCACGCTTCTCCTGACCACACTTGGCTACAGCAGGAGAAGAGCAGCAGGAGAAGAGGTGCGCAAGAAGAGCGGAGAGCCGGCAAGCAGCAGTCTCCGGCCATACATGAAATGGTGTAAGGAATGCTGGATGGCCTCATCGGCCTTTATGCTGGTGCATCGGTTCGGTTATAGCCTGTCAGGCGCGCGTTGCCATCACCAGGCCAGGTAGGCGGGCTGGACCCTGCCCGCTATTGCGCCTGCAGCCGGCGCCGCCCGCCGCCCTTCTGCGCCGGCTGCTGCTGCTGCGTGCCGCCCGGCGCGTCGAGCCCCGCCAGCTGCTCGCCTCCCCCTCCCGCCGCCGCCGCGCCCCCCGCGCCCACGCCATCGCCGCCGCCGGCGGCCTTGGCTTTGGCGTCGGCGGCCGCCGCCGCATCCGCTGCCTTTTGCCGCTCCGCCACGCCCGCCGCAAAGGCCTTGGCCTCCGCGCTTTCCACCTCGTCCTTCATGGCGGTACGGCGAGGGTACCGCGAGTAGGGCCCCTGGTACCGCACCCACTCCACGTTGGCATAGTGCCGGAAGTTCTTGACCCTGCGGGAGGGGGAGAGAGCAGGGCCAGCGCAGCTGGGGTGGCACAGCGGAACGCATCGCATACATGCACGCAGAACAACAGACCCTGTGCCTGCTCAGGCACAGAGCCAGGCCGCCCGCCTTCGGCGGGGAGAGCCAGCCACGTGGCCGGGAGCGGGCCGGGTCCCTGCCTGCGCCAGGCACGCCGAGGCCGCGCCCCGGCGCCGCCCCGGCACCCGCTGCCCCCGGCACCCGCTGCCCCCGGCGCCGCGCCGCGCCCAGGCCCACCGCCCGCCCCCACCTGTGGAATGCAATGGTGTTGGAGTTGTGGTTGTTGTAGTAGTCGTTCAGCACGGCGTCGGAGTCGCGGGCCCAGGGCGCAAACGCGGCGCGGCTGACCACCAGCAGGTCGCGGCCTGCGGGGCGGGGGCGGGGCCAAGGAGGAGGTGAGGAAGAGGAGGAGGAGGAGGAGGAGGAGAGGATCCGGGTGAGCGGTGCGGTGTTGCATGTGGTGTGGTGTGGTGTGTGGTGTGTGGTGGTGTGGCGTGTGCATGTGTGGGTGGAGGGCTCCCAGGGAGGCGGGTCTGGCATGCCGGCGCAGACGCGGGTGCATGCCATACACACACACGCCAAGCGGCCGCGGCCCAGGCATCTCGGCCTCGGCCGGCCGCCGCCCGGGCCAGCCGCTTGGCTGCGCACCGTCCACAATCATGTGTGGGTAGGCAAAGTGTCGGCCCAGG